GAAATTCTCAATTTAGAATGACAATGTAATTTTCATATCAGAATATCATAGACTATTTTAGAACATTTACCATTATATGTTTATCAAAAACCTGGGAATTGTGTTTCGATGATTATGTTGATATATTGACTGATTATATTTGTTATTACAATAATGCCTTTAAGTATAATACTCAAGGAAGAGGTTATGGCAGGTATTGCTGTCTCTATATACATAAATCTATTAATGATTATATATCACGATTACAGTCAAATTGTAAATTTTGTATTTTCTTGAGAATATTTAAGCAATTGTTTAATGCAAATCGAGATATTATTTTATGCATTGTATATTTACCCCCGGAAAATTCTCTGGCATATATGTACGAATCATTTAAAGGTTTAAAACTGTTAGAACATTACCTATTTGAACTCGATGTAAATTTTTCCGAGGTTGATTATATCATACTAGGCGATTTAAATGCACGAACTAGTAACCATAAAGATTATATTGAAAATACTTCAAACATCCCCATATTATCGGACTATGATGACATTTTGTCGAATTCTTTACCGACGCGACATTCGTGTGACTCAGTCATTAATAGGTTTGGAGTTCAGTTATTAGATTTTTGTAAAACATATTCTTTATATATAGCAAATGGACGCTGTGGTCAAGATTGTGGAGTAGGTCATGAAACTTTCATTAGCAGTAATGGCAGTAGCGTAATCGACTATTTAGTTGCATCAGAATCTATATTTAATCTTATGTCAGATTTTAAAGTTGGGGACAGAACTGAATCGAGTCATTTACCAATTGAAGTAAATATTTCTAGTACTGTTGTGTTCTCAAAATATACTACCCGGAAATAATAAGAAAAAAGAACGTGTCGTTTGTAATTTTTGGTGATAAGACTGTAGCAGATCTGAGACAAACTTTAACTTACACTTTAAATAATGCAAAGTTACATAACATGATTTGTTATATTAAAGATTTCTCAAATGATATAGATTCTGTACTAGATTCCATAATGGATAGTTTTAACAAATTTATAGTATGCGTGACTGAAACAAAACGGACTGTTCTTAAGCATCAACCTAAATGGTTTGATAACGAATGTTTTGAACTGAAAAAGAGTAAATACTATCATTTACGTCGCTATCGAGAATGTAGATCGAATTCTAACCTCGAGCATTACATACAAGTTAAAAAACAATTCAAAAACCTTTGTGAATATAAAAAGAAACATTTTTTTCACAACAAGCTCGATGATTTAGTAAAAGATTCAAATAACCCTAGATCGTTTTGGAAAATAATTAAGTATTTTTGTCTCCGTCTTCAAATGGTAGCGCTCAGAGTAGTATTCCTTTAGAATCTTGGAAAGATCATTTTGAAAAATTATTTCAAGGCCTAGTTGATGAAGACGCAGATGAAATTGCTCTAGTTGATGGAAATTTAACTGAAATTGAAAATGAGATTTTTAACGCAGAAATCACAGAAGAAGAAATATTAATGAGCATTCGTTCATTGAAATCTGCAAAGGCGCCGGGACTTGACGATTTCCCACCAAATTTCTTTAAAATACGCATTTGATTTAATTATGCCATTAATGGTGGCTTTATTTAACAGACTATTTGCTAAAGGGGAATTTCCAGATTCATGGAGTACCGCTATTATCATACCATTGGACAAAAAGGGTAATCGTAATGATCCAGCGAATTATCGCGGAATCTCTTTGCTTAACATTTTTAGTAAGATATACACATCCATTTTAAATAGACGACTACCTTTTTATGCCAATGTTTTTAAATAAAATAGACGAATGCCAATCTGGATTTAGAGCTGGTTATAGAACAACAGATAATGCATTTGTTCTGCAATCACTTATTTCTAAGGCACTTTCAAAGAAAGGGGGCAAATTATATTTTGCATTCGTTGATTTCAAAACAGCATTTGATTCTGTCAAATCGTAACAAGCTTTGGCAAATACTTTACAATGCTAATATAAGGGGAAATCTTTTAAATTCTGTTATTTCTATGTATATATAATGTAAAAGCATGTGTACGTTCTAACGGTCAAATCTCAGATTATTTTAATTGCCCGATGGGCCTCAATCAGGGATGTTTGGCTTCGCCGAAATTGTTCTCATTTTTTATAAATGAATTATCAGTTATGATGAACAATGACGATAAAATTATAGGTATACAGATAATGCCAAATGAAATTTCAATATGGCTGCTAATGTTTGCGGATGACGTAGCCTTGATTGCACAAAACAGTTAGAGATTTACAATATCAACTTAATGTATTAGGAACGTTTTGCAAGTCTTAGTTTGTTTGCAAGTAAAATATATCAAAAACCAAAAGTCATGGTTTTTAAAAAGGGCAGTCGATTAGCGCGTAATGAATGTTTTTATTATTAATAATCAGCAACTTGAAATAATTCTTTTACCTATGTTGGAGTAACATTTACATTCACTATGTCGTTAAATATTATGAGCAATGAACTTGCAATGAAAGCTAACAACGAGTATCATTTTCTTTACTTTCTTCTTTGTATGATTATGGACAATTGCCTTCAAACATATTTTTTAAATTATTTGATACCAAAATATAACCGATCCTTCTGTATGGATCCGAATTATGGGTTTTAAACCCTGTGAAAATTGTGAGCTTATTCATCGTTTAGCTTGTAAACGATTTTTATGCGTAAATAGAACATCTAGTAATAATGTAGTATTAGGCGACTGTGGTCGTTATCCAATTTATGTAGAATCTGCCATGCTTTGCATAAAGTACTGGTTCAAATTATTGAAATTACCTAATGACAGATATGTAAAAATTTGTTATAGAATGCTTTCAAGTACAACATGTGCTAAATATTTTAATTGGGCAAATGAAATTGAACATCTTTTATGTAGTAATAGGTTTGGGCACGTTTGGTTGAACCAGGAGTTCAAAATGAAAGATTGTTTCTCCATTTGTTTTGTCAAAGACTTAAGGATAATTATTTGCAAGGATGGTATAGCAAGTTAGATTCTAGTGATTGTCTCTCATTGTATAATCGTATTAAAAACAATTATGACCAAGAAAACTTATATATCTATCTTAAATATCAGGAAATTCAGACATTGCTACGCTCAATTACGTTCAGGGCTTCACATTTAGAAAGTGACTTAAAAGTCATATAGAAAAATTAACACGAAATGATTGGAATTGTAAAGTATGTTCCTTAGGATTATTTGAAAATGAATATCACTTTCTACTAGTCTGTCCTGTATATGCAGATTTAAGAGCAAACTATATTGCTAAGAAATATTATACTTGTGCAACAGAGCACAAATTGAATATATTATTATCGTGTAAAAATGAAAATGTTATAAAAAGTCTTGCCAATTATGTTTATCATGCAACAATTCGAAAAAAGATGATTATGCAGTTTTGATTTAGATACGTCTATTTTTTATCATTAACAATGTAATTTGTGTGAATTGTTATAATGTATTGATGAGTTTATCCACATAACTTTGTATCTTTTTAATGTTACAATTGTATATGTTATGGGCTGGTGGCCTAAATCAATAAATTCTGTTCTGTTCTGTTCTGTATTTGTTTTTATTCAGGCTACATAATACGCATTGCTTCACCGTGGTGCAGGGGTATCGCGCTCGTATCGCGCTCGTTAAGGGTGTGAAAGGCCTAAGGTTCAAATCCTAGTCGAGGCAACTTTTTTTTGAGGTTCTTTTTTAAGGACGTAGCCACGATATGCAAGGATAAAGTGTGGCTGTCATAAAAAATGAAAAATTTTTGAAGCAACTCTAGTCATGCAAAATTCCATACGCAGTCACTGCGTAAGATGAATTATAGTATATAAAAATAAACTTATATAGGAAGGAAAATACATACAGATAGTCAGTATGATTTAGATTGCAAAGATCAGAAAATACCACAGAGCTTGCAGCCCTTTGATTTCGTTAAGGGCACACGCATTCTTTAACTTGGGGACCAGACGCCGCATTTCATGGAAAATGGCACTTCTGTGTAACATTGAAGATTCCATGATAACCGCCGTGTGAACACATCTGCGGATGTTTCTTAATTCAAAATTTCACCATTTTCGTTTTTAAATGTTGAATTCTGCTTAAGCCGGTGCTAGGGAGCGTGGACGGTAACTTGCATTTTCAGTACCGTCCATGAATAGGCTCAATCAAACTGAGCCTGCAATATTTTCAAATTTGCCATGACAGGTAACGAGGAAATACGTACACATTTATTATCAAACAAGGTGATGCTAGCTACGTTTTCTTATATATCTGCTTTAAAATTGGTATAACACAAGCCAAAACTCACTTTTAGGGGCAGATAAATAAAAAGTACCCATTGCCTGTGTCTAAAGGCTTTTACACTAAATATTCAAACATGCACTTTTGACGTCAAAAAAAAGCAAGGCATTGCCAAATGTCTTTATTTTTGCAAACATGCATCGATGGACGGTTAATAGTAGAATCATTAAACTTATGTATATGGTGTTGCACAATGCCTTATGAAGTAATACTGTAGTAACTCTTGCGAGATTAGTTAATGAATGTGTATTATAACGGAAACAAATCGATTCTTATGTAATGATAGTAAAGAGACCTACATTCTAAAACAAAAACAACAACACGACAATATAATGAAAACTGTTTCAAAATAACTCGTTGTGAAATTCGCAATTTTCAGCTCAAAGCATCCGAATGAGATACATTTGTTTACCAAATGTGTTTGTGTTTTTATTCTAAAATTGTCAAATACATGTACTTGTTATTGAAAGTAAAGGCCGTCCAAATTAATAAATGTGTTCAATACGCTTGATACGCCATTTACTTTTGAAATAAATATTACAAGACTGGGTATTGTGGAGAATATCCATGTAGATCGCGAATTTTCTGCCCTATCCGTCAAACTTTCGGATAAGGACCTCGGACACAATAGTATATAGAAATAAACAGAGCGACAAATAGTAAATAAATGCTTGGAATTGGTGATAAAGTTTATTCCAATGTATACCTTAATTAGGTAAATTTATAGAACACAGTAAACAGTACATTATTTTTATACATGTACTTATTATTGTTAAAGAAACCCAAAGTACAAAATATATACTTGTTGACATTATTCGGATTAGGAAAGAAATGTACATAAGTGGGCGTTTGAAAATTGATTATAAGTCAGATATTTTTCAATCACAATTTTACCGAAATAGACTTTTTTCCTTTGGATGTCACATACATACATTTAATATACACTGTACAAAGATTACACCCTCTTTTTGTATACATATAAAATCACGTGATATAATAATCGACGACGTGTTCCAATAACCCACCTAGTTGCAATCTTTAGGAGGTACAAATATAGATGGATCTTTTATTCCTGGAGTTATATCTACGACATCAACATCATACACTGATTCTTCAATGGTATCATCGGAGAACATCGCATAAGAGAACATGATCGTCTCACAATTACTACCTGAAATATTAGGAGCGTATTGTAATCAATTAGATGAATACTATTTTGTATTTTGCAAGATGATTTTTCACCTCAGATAAATGTAGATACATGTAGTCTCACTCTTGGAGTAGGTGGGAGAGGTGCGCGTGAAGTCATGCAAAGGTACTCTTATCATTGAATGTTGCACGTTGCAGTATTGTACTTTTGTCAGTACTCCAAAATATTTTTTTTAGAAATTTTATTCTAAGAAACTAATACACAAAAAAGATTTTCTTTTAATATGTTTGTACACATTTTGTAAGGTTTTGTTCTGATTTATTTGACTGGCACTGAAAACATTTTATTGGAACATTTCTCTGTGAATAATACCAGTAAAGTCACTGTTAGGTAAATTGATAATAATTTAGTATTGATTCTTAAAATATTTACAGTATTATTGTCACATCGATAGCAGGTGTTATTTGAAATGATACTAGTCATCTTACGGTGCCCTAAAGTTGTTTACATTCTGCTTAGTGTTGGCAAATAGAAACATGTTTTACCGTTTTGTCGAACTGTTGGTGTTGTAAGAATCTCCAATGGTGGAGTACTGTACGATATCTGATATGTTGTTACGTCTACGCCATTAAATAAACCCTTAGACATCACTGTCGCATTCCCTGAAGAAACATCGAATAAAAAGCTTACATTACAATGATAAAAATGGAACACGTTACAAGATACATGTAATACTTGTTTGTGTTACATGTTTAACCTTTGTATTTCAAATGAAATATATAACTTTCTGGTTATGTTGTTAATTTAATAACAGATTTACTATCATGGTACTAAACGGTTGACAATAAAAAGGGGCACTGAGGTAGGTTCTGCTAGTCATATTAGTTAATGGACTGCACAAGTATCATCACCCATTATTGGTCAACATACCTGGAACACATAATATTTGCATGTCCGCTGAATTCGGCTGCTTAAAACAACTGTCGCCATCTATGTCATATGTAATTCCCTGGAAATACACATTTGCTTCATTTTATTTATACATGTATAACATTCTTCCTACTTGTTTTTCTTTTAAAAGTTTAATGAGACTATAAGTCAATTGAAAGTTTTATAGCTTTATTCAAGAGAAATATAATAAAGTGTTCTTATATAAAATGTCTGCGTTCTAATTTAAAAACTGAACTATGAAACAACTGAATGTTCGCTTGGCTTTATATGAATTCAATTATGATATACATGTAGTTACATATAACATACCGTTGCAAAGTCTTTGATATCCGTCGATGTTTTATAGTCATGTTTTGTTGATCCTGGGGCAAATTCTGTTACATTAAAACTAATGTAAGATTTTTTATTTGTTTCATCGAAGGCAATTTTCCCTGTTCCATTGTAATAAACAATCATTGTTATATTCTCGAGAGTCAATTTTGTACTTGCAATTATATATGCATTTGCTTCCCATTGCCCATACGCACAACAAATATTGCCAGGTGAGCTTCTTGTACTTCTTCCGAATAAATGCTTTAAGTTTTGATGAAACTTTGCATGGTTGCCATTTAGTCCAGTTTGTTGAATTTTATATCCAGCAGAATAAATGATTAAGATAGGAAATAGAACGGTAATTATACAAATGTGTGACATCTTTGTTACCTTTTGTAACCTTTAAATGAACGTTTTATCAAACTTTGACATTTCAATTTGACGAGATACGAGTATAGATTAGATATAAGTAATCTTAATATATTCACCTTATTGGTAGTCCAATATTAATATCGATAAATAGAATGTTAATCAGTATTAGTACAGAGAGATTACTCATAAAAAGAATTAATAAGACAGGATGGACATTTATATCCCAACTGCAAGAAAGGGTTCATTATGAGTTTAAAGGTTCATTTGATCTTTAAGACTGGAATTAGCATCAGTTATGTTTTTCTTTATTTTTGATATGGCCTACGGACTTTTATACATGTACAAAAAACAAGATAATTCTGGTTTGACATAAATCAAGTCATGCGCATACTGTCTTTCAGATAAAGTAAGACAACGAGCTTGGTGGTTGTTAAGAATCAATTTCTAATGGTATCATCTGCTTGACATACAAAATTGAATCCCTATGGCGAAGACCCACTGTATTTATAGTGAGCTTAATTACGGGGAGAACTTTAAATGATAGAAGGTCGCCTAGGCGATGAGCCAATGGTCTGGTTGCTAAAGTTAAAGACAAAAATGACCGTCTAAGTAAAAATAAAATATTTAATCCTTGTAAGTGTAACTTCTTTCGTTTAAAAATGAAATGTGACCAGTCAGAAGGCTCATGTTTTGGCTTTGATAAGCACTTATTACTTTTTTAAAAAATTCCAATGACAAGTGCCTTTATGATGTGTTCTATAAATTACTACTGTGTTGGCAATAAACTAAATTAATCATTTCTGTTTGGCAGACCAGTTATAGCTTTATCGTCAGTTTGTTTCACTTTGAGCAACTTTGGCTGATATGGTGCCAACTTCAGATCACGTGGGTGGGATGATTGTTAAGTTTATCGTAACTAAACAACCTTAGTTTTAATTTTTAATCCTTCTCACTTTTTATTATGACCATCGTATCTGAATCATTGTGATAAATTTTTGATGTTTTCAGGTAATAACTTTTCTTTATTTAAAACTGAGCTGTGTGATGTAACACTTCTCGTAGATCATGTCTTTGTCTGCATACTATAGACACATATAATTCAAGGTTAAACCATGATAATGTGCAAATACAAATTGTCATATCACCATCAGACATGAAAATGAGTGCAATTTTTCATCAATTTTCATAAGTTTGTATTCGCTAATGTATTATCTATACAGGTCAGGACAAACCGGTGTTGAATATTGTTTTGGATCTGATCACTTTACATAATTAAAGGAATTCTTTCACAGAATCATGGTACTAATCACACATCAAGAGACCAAATGCGAGTAGTTTAGAGCTGAATAGTGCAGGGGGGGGGGGACATTGCTACACATGGGTTGTTTCCAAAACATTCACATAACATAAGTTATTTCATTAAAGAAATAATAATAACAATAGAATATTGATTTTATACATTACTATTTTCCTACCTTGTATTATTCCTGGTATGTATATTTTTATTTTAATGCTAATTGTAGTAAAAATGGTTGGTAGAAGCGTCTACAAAAAAGATGAAATTCGGGCTTACATCAAAGCTCGCTCAAAACTGGGTTGCTCTTTAAAGCAGTTGATGACTGAACTCTCTACTGCTTATGGACCTTCTTGTGTGTCTTATGACAAAGCGATGGAAAAAGAAATTTGAGTAGACTGCAGCAAAAATGCACCAAAATCAGCAAAAAGCTGCTTCAAATGTTTCCAAAATAATATGACAAAAAACAGTTTGCCAATGTCGTCACAGGTCATGAAACTTGGGTCGATTATTTTCAGCCCGTCAGAAAAATTAGCAACAAAATTTGGGCCACTAAACACAACAAACGCCCAATAATTTCTAAACGGTCTTTGATTGCAAAGAAGGTTTTGTATGCAATTTTCTTCCCCGGTGAAGGAGTCGCAATAAAAGTGCCGGTGAAAAAAGGCAAAAGTATCACTGGGACGTAATACTTAAGAAACTGAAAAAGTATTATAAGAAACGACGCCTTGTCACTGGTTTTAAGCATATTCGTCCTCTACATGACAATGCCCCCGCTCATACCTCCGCAATAGTTTCGGCATTTTTGAAAAAAAGAAAAAGTACTGTTTTGCCTCATCCCCCGCATTCTCCAGACCTTGCCCCATGTGATTTCTTTTTGTTTCCAAAATTGAAATCCTTCCTTGCTGGGCGATAATACAAGTCCCGACAGGCACTTGGATCTGCCATTCATCAGTACCTTATTACTGTGCCCAAATCAGCGTACCGATACGCCTTCAAGAAGTGGATACGTCGGCTGAAACTTTGCATTTCTAGCCATGGGGAGTACTTCGAGAGCTAACTTGAAATTTGAAGTCTCCAGAATAAGCAATACATTTCGAACATCCCTCGGAACACATTGTATATTATACACTCAGATACACTTATAAACCAACACTTTTCAAATTCATCTTTTTCAAAAACGTTCAAATAACTTATTGAAAAGTATACAGGATGTTGTTTGACTGCAATATCCTAGCAAAAAATTACGCTTACATTGGAGTCTCATTTAAAAAATCACAATTTTCATCTGTAAAATATGAAATCCACACACTTTTCTTATTTCATTTCTTTTTTCAGGTAGATCATGTCTTTGGCAGATATGTGTCCACTATAGACAGTCTCTTACGAAAGTTTCAAAGCACTGGATATGTTGATAATATACCGAGGCAGCCTCGCCGAAGAGTTACTACACAGCACAAGATGCACAGATTGTAGCGGATCATATCCGATCTGGCTTCAAGACCGCAACCCCTACTGTAAGAGCGACTTTTGGCATACATGGAAGAGCAGTCAGCAAAAGAACCGTCATCAGGCGGCTGCGAGATCAGGCAATCAGAGCTAGGCGCCCATTTGAGGTCTTATTCTGCAATGGGCTCGACAGCACCAACGCATGACTCGAGCCGAGTTGGCAAACATTTTGATTACCAGTCGAAGAACGAATGTTATTGAAGTGTCAGAACGGCCAGAGGAATTTGGACAAGAGTTACATGGGTATTGAAAAGTAACAACCTACATAACTTTCTTGACGTTTGATAATCGCATGGTTATACGTGGTCGACGAACATATTTTTGCGGCCAAAATCTTACTGCTACACTAGTGAACTGACGTAAAATAGTATAACCAGCTTTCAACCTCAGTCACAATATTAGAAAAACGGCGACATTCATACTTCGGAAACATTTTCATTAATTTTCAAGCGCATTTATTTCGCTCATTCTTCTGGTCAGATGTAAGCAAATGGGGTAACCAACTTGCAGTTATCCGCCAATCTTTCAAGTGATTTTTTTTAGAATCCTTTTGATATCCATGCGATACGGGCTGGGTAAGTGAAGAGTCTGGCATCTTTGTCATGATAAACTTGCCTTTATGGAGCGTATGACAGACAGGCAACCTTAATTGACTCATGCCCATATCTTAAATCTATGCATCCACCTGAACACAGTTGATTAGATAATCGTTGTTGCCATAGATATTACAAACATCATTATAAATATTCATAGCAGATTTTGTTCTAATGTTTCTCTAACTTGTATGTATGCCCTTACTTCAGCATAATATTTTAAATGAAATTACCTACCGGCTCCTTTGTTAAAAGCGGTCTAGTAAATCACTTACCGACCGGTTAACAGGTCTGCAAATAGATACCGACCGGTTATTGTTCTATTGCTCTCTATTCAATAGAAAATATGTGAAGTCGAGAAACTCGTGCATTACAGTACACAATATTCACCGTAAAATAACGCTAAATTGAGGGGGGGGGGGGAATAATTACCACTTTGAATAGGAAAAAAGGTCGATATATATTTTAAAGATTAATCGAAATAAATCAGCGCATACGGCTGTAAGGACCCTCATAACTGATATTCCAGATTATTTGTGAGAAAAACGAACTGGCTACTGTTCTGGCGTTGAAGTTTTGTGTCGCCGATATAAATGAGTATAACAACGCACATTAAGTCTTTCTTTAAAGTTTGCTTTTCGGTATACCTAACACATTTGCCGAACTATATAGCTTCATAAGATACTAGTTTTTGGTATTTATTTCTACAACTATGTCTGAATTTGCACAATCCTGCATTATTTTACCAATTCTGCATTATGGGATATATACGACGATTATATTATTGGTGCATATCGAATCAAAGTCAATTTCTGCATCTTTCTATCCCAAAATATTACTTTCAGTGAGAGTACAGTTCATCTTAAGTATAAGACCGTTTTTCTCATTTTTTCCCAGTTATTTTTACATTACAGTTTGGATTTTGTATACCAGTACCAAGAATACGACTTGCGCTTCCATTCTAGACCGCATGCTTACAGGCGGTCTTATAACGGATGATGCTAATTAAGAATACACGGAAAGAAAATTCTTCCAAACATGGATGAAATTCTAAGAACATTTAAAATCAGCCATCATAAAAAACAACAACAACAAAACCCAACTAACATAACGGTGTAACTACATGTATTACTAATATTTAGTCATAGAACCCCGTCTTTTACTTTCCTTTGAAAAAAATCGTATATTTTAATTATATAAGAAATAGCCTGATCATCTATTTACCATGAAATTTATTATACATAAAGATAAAGTGTTTTTATGATTAGAAAACATTTTTATCTTCCTCAGTATTTGTTTATATTATTAATATGATATGTATTCATATATCAAAATAATGATCTTACCTTTCCCTACTCGACAAGTTCTGTTTTCATTTTCTGTGACTCAACTCAACAGGGACATTACCTGACCTTATTACATAATGAAACCCCACGAGAATCACGAGAATATTCAAATAGCATTGATTTGTGAACGAATGAATTACAAGAGCGTAGCGGATGGTATCCTTGCTTGGCTTTGGAATGCTTTCTTAAACATGATAAAGTACATAAGTAATATGTTTCTTGTGAGTAATATTAATAAATACTGAGCTAAAAACTGATGTATGGATAGAAAAACAAAAGAGCATGTAGGTAAGATAGTTACCGCACTCGGAATAGGTCTGCATAGTATTTACAGACCCGGTGGCCTTTTAAAAACCTCGATCGCTACGCTCTCTCGGTCTTCAAATCGCCACCCGGGTCTGTAAATACTATGCAGACCTATTCCTCGTACGGTAACTATTACTTACTCGTGTAAGGTATTTTTAAAAGTGAATGAAATTCTTAATTAGTTGACTACACATATGATTGGGGTAACATTTGAAAGCAGTTTTTTTTGAAATTTTTATAAAACAAAAAGAATCAGACCTTAAAAATTTAAAATAAAACTTATATTTAATTAAAAATTACCCACCCTCGTAATTTTTAAAAATTTTTTTTCTTCCTAAAGCATTTTCATTTCAAAAAATTTTTAAAAAATTTAAAATTTCCCCCCTTTCGGAATGCCGTTTGGGCCATTGCCCCATGTGGTTGATCTGAAAAGCGATAGGTCGATTACGGAAAGGTGAAAACCGAAATCCCCGAAAAATAAAGATTTGGGGAAAAAGCGAAAGCACAAAGTGAAAAAAGCGAAAAATACGATGAGAAAAAAGCGACAGTACGGGTTTCTACGAAAATGAAAGCGCGATAATACTATCGGGTTTTTAAACCCTCGTACTGTCGCCCTTGTCACCATCGAGTTTTGTATTTCCCCGGTTTTTATCATCGTACTGTCGTGTTTTCATCATCGTACTATCGCGTTTTCACCATCGTACTATCGCGTTTTCACCATCGTACTATCGCTTTTCATCATCGTACTGTCGTGTTTTCATCATCGTACTATCGCGTTTTCACCATCGTACTATCGTGATTTCATCATCGTACTATCGCGTTTTCATCATCGTACTATCGCGTTTTCACCATCGTAGTTTTCGTGATTTCGTGTTTTCACCATCGTACCATCGACTATCGCGTTTCAGATTAACACATTCATAGGCGATGGCCCTAACGGCATTCCGGAATGCCGTTAGGGCCATCGCCTATGAATGGTTTGATCTGAAACGCGATACTCGACAGTACGATGATGAAAACGCGAAATCACGAAACTACGATGGTGAAAACGCGACAGTACGATGGTGAAAACACGATAGTTTATCGCGTTTTCATCATCGTAGTATCGTACTGTCGCGATTTCATCATCGTACTATCGCGTTTTCATCATCGTGCTTTCGCGTTTTCACCATCGTAGTTTCGTGATTTCGCGTTTTCACCATCGTACTATCGACTATCGCGTTTTAGATGAACACATTCATAGGCGATGGCCCTAACGGCATTCCGTACCTGCCACCTAAGACATGCTTTATTTCTACAAAAGTAAGGAAATAATTTTGGGAAAAAAGGCCATCAGACTGCGCGGATGCGCAAGGGTGGTCTGGGCCACGGTCGGGAAAACCCAAAATTTTTTTTGTCGGCGCGGGTCATTTATTGATTTTAAAACAGTTTTAACCCTGATTTAACCATGGAAAAGAATTTCTTTTCAGTAAGAAAATTGAAGGTTGACATATTTCTGTCTTGATATGCCAATAATCTTGATATATATCTTATATTCTTAAAACAGTTTTCCTAACATTTTAGTAATTTCTTTTACTTCACACGGAAATATTTAATGAAAACACGACGAGATACTGATACTAGGTCAGCTATAATGAAGGTGAGTAATGGAAATTATTAGTGGAGAAAATTTAAGGATCTAACAGATTTTGGGTCCAGTGGAATCTTGTACAATCGAAAATAAACATAGGGCTTGTAATTAGGGTAACAAAAAGTAGGCAATGTAAAATCTCAGCAACCTATTCAAACATTTTATTTGATACTGTTACATGATTGCGGAGGCAAAAATATGGATGGATCACTGATTCCTTGTTTGATGTCCATAACGTCTAGATTTAGAAGTGTTCCATGGGTAACATCTTTTGAATGAATGACAGATTGAGAAACTCTCACTGGATCACATGTATTACCTGTTGTAATAAAATATATGATATACAGCATTAATCCCCAACTGTTTCAAACAAGTAACAGAAAGTTATAACATCTTCGGGTGTATTATAGGTTTGTGAGGGGGTCAATGAATATCCACAGACAAAACTATCGCACATGTAAAAAGTAGATTATGCTCAAATTTGATATTTGAAAAATCGATAATTACTAAACAGTCTCTTTTCAAGTGTAAATTTCTACAACTTTTGAATAAACACAGAGAAAATATAGTTTTAAATAAACTCTACACACTACAGGAATCACATATGATCACAATAGTGTCATTAAAGAAACTGACAGTTTTTATAAGAATAGACCATTAATTTGACAATTAATTGGGAATGGAGCTTCCCAAACATAGTTTATACATTCATTTATTCAAATAAGACATATTCAGGAAGAATTTACAAGATTTCAATAAATTTCTGCAGTATACCTTAATTATGCTTTTTGCGTTTTGGCTTATTTCTTTTCACGAGAATTGTACATGAAGTATATGTGACCTTCATGGACTAAATAAGCTATATAAATACATTTGTTATACATATTTCACTATTACCTATGCGAAGAACAGCTGCTGTAACAATTTGCCTTGTACCCGTGTAGGACTTAGAAAACTGGTATGTTGAAATGACTTCTTTTCCTATAAGGCCCTTTGACAGATAAATGGCCTCGGCTGTAAAAAAATATAACATTCATGATATAATGTATAGTCAAGTAAAGTTTTCAAAAGCCACAGCATCACAATGTAACATTCGAAACTTGGACTTTATTAATCCTTAGTTTTCTTTTAAAACCGGTGCGTTTTCGGCCCTAAACAAAATAAAGTGATTGATCGAATCAAATGAAACATTTTTAAAAATAAAAGCAATTATTACTTGATAAAATCGTTGTATCATATAGTTTATATCATTGATCAATGACAACTTGTATATACACTAACCTGGAATACAGAGAGCTTGGATATCTTTCGGTATAGTCTCTTTTGTACAATGACCTTCATCATCAATGTCATACATAATACCCTATTTTAACAAAATTTAACACTGTACATTATGTTATAAATGGTACTCTAATATACTGTAATATCATACCTGGTACCCTAATATAACAGAAGCATGTTACAGATCAAATAGTGTACATCTGTCATACACAATACAAAAATAAGCAATGTATATTTGCTATGAAAGTCGTACTTTTTGATTACAACTGGAACAATATCAGTATCAGACATGAAGCTTGTATATAACAATCACAACTAATATAAATGTCAAACATGATAACCTGATTCTAGCAACAAGAGTCATAGCCATATAATAGGTAAAATCATGGCAAAGAATGTGAAATCCTGATATACTATTAGAAACTAAAATAAAGTTAGTATATCATACTCTTATCTTACAAAATGGAACTGATATAAATACATAATTATGACATCTTGATAAAAGAAACAAAAACATTTAATCGATACTAACACTGAACCCAATATAGAACTTTTTACAATATGAGTTTTCCGTAGAAACGGAAGTTGCATTTCGCATATGCGCATTCTGCGAAGGGCAGAAGAGTATAGTTTATCAGTAACAATTTCATATACAATTTGATATGATCCAAATGATAATCCAATTGTTTAGATAGTTAAGAGTCCAGTTTTTTGATAAACAATAAAGTAATTCATTTTAAATTTAGAGCATTTTTGCATTCCTTGTCTTCCAACTTTTAAAGACTGCATGGTGCATTCGATTTGTAATCATAAGACTTTCTTGCATGAAATGTGTAGCCTGGAATATATCTTCCTATAAAAGTACTCGGTAAATGTGTTCAAAGGTTGGCTATCGTCATAATTAAAGCACTGAACTCATACGGAAACACTTTTATATATGTATATGCCGTAAGACCTCACTATAGGGGGTAGGGGGGTTTAGATTTACCTTTGTCCGTCCGTCCATCCATCCATCCGTCCGTTCTCATTTTGTGCCGCAACTAGCTCAAGAGAGTTTTTGACCTAGAGTCATGAAATTTTACAGGAATGTTGCTGAGCATGTGTTGTTGTGCACCTGGGTATTTTTGTGTGGACACTTATAGTACTTGTAGAGTTATTGCCCTTGACTTATTAAAAATTTGCAATTTTCAACTTGTGCCGCACGTAGCTCAAAAAGTATTTGACCTAGAGTCATGAAACTTTGCAGGAATGTTGATCAGCATGTGAAATTTTGCACCCTTGTGGATTTATTCTGTCCTTTTTTCAGAGTTTTTGCCCTTGACTTAGTTAACATTTGCAAATTTCAATTTGTGTCGCACGTAGCTCAAAAAATATTTGATCTAGGGTCATAAAACTTAACAGGAATTTTGATCAGCTTGCGTTGTTGTACCAAGGGTATTTTTAAAGTGGGGTATATTTTGTTTTTTGTAAGTTATGGGCCCCTTTACTTAGTAAAAAAAATTTTTTCCTTTTTTAATTTGAGGGAATTTATAAAAATTTACAGGAAAAGTTTTTCACCCGTAAAGTTTTGAAAACCCGGGTTTTTTTGTGGGTTTTTTTGTTTTGTAAAATTATTTCCCATTTACTTAGTGAAAAAATTTTCAATTTTCTTTGTGTTGGGGCGTTTGGCCCCAAAAAAATATTTAATATTTGAGTCATTTTAAAAATTTAACCCGGGAAAGTTGGGAAGCAAACTTGGATTTGTTGTAATTTTTTCTGCTATTTCAAAGTTTACCGCCCTTTCTTAGGAAAGATTATTTTTTTTCGACTTGTGGCACAGTAGGCCCAAAAAAAACTTGACCCAGAATCATTTAAAACGAACAAAAAAGTTTGGGGAATGGGCACCCCGGGGCCTAGGGAAAATTTCAATTATCATTAATTTAAATAAGAACAGCATAGTATCATACAGAGGATTATATGTGACACTCACATTATTGTTGTGTGTTACATCAGAGCATCATATGTGACATTCATATTGGTGTCGTGTGTTATATTAGGGTTACATATGTGACATTCATATTGGTGTCGTGTGTTATATAAGGGTAACATATGTGACATTCATATTGGTGTCATGTGTAATATTAGGGTAACATATGTAACATACATATTGGTGTCGTGTGTTATTTTAGGGTAACATATGTGACATTCATATTGGTGTCGTGTGTTATATAAGGGTAACATATGTGACATTCATATTGGTGTCGTGTGTTATATTAGGGTAACATATGTGAAATTCATATTGGTGTCGTGTGTTATATAAGGGTAACATATGTGAAATTCATATTTGGTGTCGTGTGTTATATTAGGGTACATATGTGAAATTCATATTGGTGTCGTGTGTTATATTAGGGTAACATATGTAACATACATATTGGTGTCGTGTGTTATATTAGGGTAACATATGTGAAATTCATATTGGTGTTTTGTGTTATATTAGGGTAACATATGTGAAATTCATATTGGTGTCGTGTGTTATATTAGGGTAACATATGTAACATACATATTGGTGTCGTGTGTTATATTAGGGTAACATATGTGAAATTCATATTGGTGTCGTGTGTTATATTAGGGTAACATATGTGAAATTCATATTGGTGTCGTGTGTTATATTAGGGTAACATATGTGAAATTCATATTGGTGTCGTGTGTTATATTAGGGTAACATATGTGAAATTCATATTGGTGTCGTGTGTTATATTAGGGTCACATATGTGAAATTCATATTGGTGTCGTGTGTTATATTAGGGTAACATATGTGAAATTCATATTGGTGTCGTGTGTTATATTAGGGTAACATATGTGACATACATATTGGTGTCGTGTGTTATATTAGGGTAACATATGTGAAATTCATATTGGTGTCGTGTGTTATATTAGGGTAACATATGTGAAATTCATATTGGTGTCGTGTGTTATTTTAGGGTTACATATATAACATACATATTGGTGTCGTGTGTTATATTAGGGTAACATATGTGACATTCATATTGGTGTCATGTGTTATATTAGGGTAACATATGTGAAATTCATATTGGTGTCGTGTGTTCTATTAGGGTAAACATATGTGACATAGGGTAACATATTGACATTCATATTGGTGTCGTGTGTTATATTAGGGTAACATATGTCGTGTGTTAGGGTAACATATGTGACATACATAGGGTAACATGAAATTCATATTGGTGTCGTGTGTTATAGGGTGAAATTCATATTGGTCATGTGTTATATTGTAACATCGTGTGAAATTCATATTGGTGATCGTAGTTTCTATTAGGGTAACATATGTGACATACATATTGGTGTCGTGTGTTATATTAGGGTAACATATTGAAAATTCATATTGGTGTCGTGTGTTATATAAGGTAACATATGTGTAATTCATATTGGTGTCGTGTTATTTTAGGGTAACATATATAAATACATATTGGTGTCGTGTGTTATATTAGGGTAACATATGTGACATTCATATGGTGTCGTGTGTTATATTAGGGTAACATATGTGAAATTCATATTGGTGTCGTGTGTTATATTAGGTAACATATGTGACATACATAGTGGTGTCGTGTGTTATATTAGGGTAACATATGTAACATACATATTGGTGTCGTGTGTTTATTTTAGGGTACACAATGTGACATTCATTCATATTGGTGTCGTGTGTTATTTTAGGGTAAACATATGTGACATTCATATTGGTGTCGTGTGTTATATTAGGGTATCATATGTGACATTCATATTGGTGTCATGTGTTATATTAGGGTATCATATGTGACATTCATATTGGTGTCGTGTGTTATATTAGGGTATCATATGTGACATTCATATTGGTGTCGTGTGTTCTATTAGGGTAACATATGTGACATACATATTGGTGTCGTGTGTTATATTAGGGTAACATATGTGAAATTCATATTGGTGTCGTGTGTTATATTAGGGTAACATATGTGACATACATAGTGGTGTCGTGTGTTATATTAGGGTAACATATGTAACATACATAGTGGTGTCGTGTGTTATTTTAGGGTAACATATGTGACATTCATTCATATTGGTGTCGTGTGTTATTTTAGGGTAACATATGTGATATTCATATTGGTGTCGTGTGTTATATTAGGGTAACATATGTGACATACATAGTGGTGTCGTGTGTTATATTAGGGTAACATATGTAACATACATATTGGTGTCGTGTGTTATATTTAGGGTAACATATGTGACATTCATTCATATTGGTGTCGTGTGTTATATTAGGGTAACATATGTGACATTCATATTGGTGTCGTGTGTTATATTAGGGTATCATATGTGACATTCATATTGGTGTCGTGTGTTATATTAGGGTATCATATGTAACATACATTTTGGTGTCGTGTGTTATTTTAGGGTAACATATGTGACATTCATTCATATTGGTGTCGTGTGTTATTTTAGGGTAACATATGTGACATTCATATTGGTGTCGTGTGTTATTTTAGGGTAACATATGTGATATTCATATTGGTGTCGTGTGTTATATCAGGATACGGATATCATATGTGACATTGATATTAGTTTCTTGTTATTTAAACAGCAAAACTGATAAGAATTTCATATTTGATACTCTGAGGTAGCAGGCGAAACTGATACCAATGTCATATAATATGTATGATGCCCTGATACAGCAAACAACACTTACATGAAGGTGATATATGATACCTTGATATTAACAATGAAACTGATGACAATGTAACATATGAAACTCTCACATGGCAACAGAATATATCGTTAATAACTAAGGCTTCATAAAGGTGAAAAAACCAAGCAAATTCAACAAACCAGATTGAAATCTTTAATTGTCGTTGTTGTAAACTGTGAGTAGACAGGTATTTGAGGAGAAAATGCTGTGATCTTGAATTGTACGTATGACTTCTTATGAACAACGTCAAAAGCAATCTTCCCTGTTCCATTGTAATGAAAGAAAGACGTTGCGTCAGGCACATTCAGTGCTGCGCCATAATCTAAGAAACTATTTGATTCCCATTGTCCATTCAGGCAACAAATATTTCCTTCCGTATAATTGGTAAACTGGTCCAGCAACTGAAGAACAGAATGTAGCGGTGAAACGTAGTCACTTTGTTCCAGAGATTGACCGAGTGAAGCATTAAATACAAGTGAAAATATTAAGAATATATCCACGTACCATGAACACATTGTCCAGTATTAATTTAGTATCATCACAACTGATAAACAAGTATACATTAACGTCTAAACACTCGTCTTCAATGTTAAAGATGAGATGTAAATATAAACTGAAGATTATGGTACAAATAACAGTAGTGTTAACGTTCTATCAGTCACCTTGATATAAATTAGGCCTAATATTAATTTAAATGAAAATGAGTTGTTCGTCTTACCAGTTTAATTTGTATCCCCTTTTTCTCAGCTGTAGTCAATTTTTATAAAAGATTTAAAATGTATCAGCTCGACTATAAAATAATCATTCATATTATTTTAATACGATGTTTATATGTAAAATAATGATAATACTTTCTGTACAGGGGTTTCACTCACTTTCTTTTGATCAAATGGGCTTAATACGTAATGAATAGAATACAAAAAAATATTTATAGACGTAGAGAAAATGAGAAATGGTGTATCACAGGAAGGCTTTGGATATTAGATATATCTAATGATCTTGGAATTGTATTAAGTTTAAATGGTAAGTTTAACTGTAATATGCCCAATTTTATTTCTCAAAATATTTTTTACTGGTGCTCTGTAATAATTTAAAAATAAAACACCCCAAAACAAAAAATCTTTGCCTAATGTCCTTAACCATTTTTTGCTTCTATTGTTTTTCGCCAATGAGTACAGTTACAGTGATTTAGTATTTTGTATGCAAGTCAAAATACTACTTTGTTTACATTTTGCTATTTTTATAGCAAATAACGTCACATTCAGCGCCACTTTCTTCATGTAATAAGATTGTTACATGTCTAAAATCATTAATCCGCGTCACGATAAAACCAACATAGTGTGTTTGCGACCAGCATGGATCCAGACGAGCCTGCGCAAATGCACAGTCTGATCAGGATCCATGCGGTTCGCTTACCAACCCTATTACAAGTAGAGAAACTGATAGCTTTCCTCTTTATTTACGATAATAAAGTTTTGAATACCAACTATTGTATCATTATACATGTATTTAAAGACACATTATGGTTAAAGTATAGGGCATATAAGTTATTTTTTTTACTAGAAAACTATTAGAAATGAGGATCTGTTAGTGTTACTGGAAATGTAGGACATTTTTGTAGAAGGTCAGTGATTGATTCAGTTTTAAACAAAGTGTGATTGATTATTTCCTTCAGTACTACTACAGAGGAGTAATGTTGATAGAAAATCTCATTATTTAAAAAAATAATACGAACCTTACATAGATTTGTTGCATAATTTACGGTAACTGTACGTCTTTTTTTCTAGAAGATAAACTCATTAAGTTCCAAAAGAGAGCTGCAAGACTAATTCTAGACAAAGATTATGACACTCCATCTGCCGAACTTTTTTCTGCTGGATGACCTTTTCACAGAGGGTTGTTTTTCAAAAAGCTATTATGATGTTTAAAATAATGAATAATCAGGCGCCTACCTATTTATTGAATTAAATAATTTCATTTTATCGTCAGATGTTCATACTCGCATTTTGCGTTCATCATCTGATTTTCAACTTTATACCCCGAGACCAAATACTGAACAGCTTCGTAAGTCTTTTGTTTATTCTGGATCTTGTATTTGGAATGGCCTTCCTGATTATATTAAGTCAGCTACATCTGTTAACCATTTTAAAACCTTATACTTGAGCTATTATCACACATCCATGTATGCAAATTGATAATCTGTATGTTTTTACATTTATGTATTTTAATAGTTTGAATATGTTAAATTTACATTATTCCTTGTTGAGGGCCTCATGGAAGATTGATATGTTTGTTCAAATGAGTTCTCTCGTTAAATAAAGTCTTTATTATTATTAATATTATTATTATTATTATTATTATTATTATTATTATTATTATTATTATTATTATTATTTGTTAAAAAAGAATTACAGAAACTATTCATAACTACGATAGCACACTGCGCCCGCGAAGAAATCGAACTATGTGTGGAAATAATAATAGATTTCTGTCACGTATGTGAAAGTGGCGAGGTTGAAGACGAGGTTGAAGACTTTATTATTAAATGTTAAGTTAATAAAATGTCAAGTTTTGTGATGTAAAATATGTTATGAAACGTCATTTGACTAATAATCTTTATCATACGGACGCTTTATTGATGGTTTAAAGGTACATTATGCTTCAGAAACAAATACATTTTTTACTTCTTTAGAAAGGGCAAACATGACTTACAACGTTTATATAATGGTTTTAGAGAATATTAGATGCTTGTTGCCTGAAGAAAGTAGCGATGAATGTGAAATTATTTGTCATAAAACAGGCATAAGTAAAAAAAGTAGTAGTTTGTCTTCCGTGCAAAATATTTAATCACTATAGCTGTACTTATTGCCAATAAGGAAAAGATGAGAAAGATGGTTCAGATAATTGGCCAATGAATAACTTTTAGTTTTAGATACTATGAAAGTACACCAAAGAAACATTAAAAAGCTTCTTTATTTCTATTCACTGGCATGCATATTAACCTTTGTTTATATCTAAAATCAAACAAAATATCATGTTCTTTTTCAGTACTAAATGTATCTACTTGCGTTATCTTATATTCAAACGTGTAAAGATCAGATATTATTAGAAATTTAACGTCTTCATTTAACTTATATATGCATTCTTGAAATTAATCATTTTAATTTTGCAAGGAATATATGTATCAAAATTCGATTGAAAGCAAAATGAACATATTAAAATTAAAATGTTTAAATGTATTTTAACAACGTAATATGTAAATTAATCAGTTTAAAGTATGTTTCAAGTCCACAAGTGCAATATAAGGAGAAGATTTCTCTAAGTTTCCTTCTCATTTATGTAAAATTATTTTGTTTGTTGTTTATTTGTACATATATACATTATATATTCTATTGGGAATAAATGTGTTTAAACCAAGTGCAATATGAGACCTAGCTGATTGGACGCCATATTGAAAAAAAAGAGAAAAAATACAAAAAAATAGTAAAATAACAGAAAATAATCATTTTAGATGTTTAAAAAGAATTTTAATTTGTACAAGTTATACATATATTGACAGCAGGAGGACTTAGAGATAGACTTTATGATAAATAAGTATTGAGGTCGAGACTCGTGTAAGGGTGGAATAGTACCCGGATAGGAAGGCGTTTTCGGACAAACGTGTACGAGTGGCTGGAAAGAGGTTGAATTGACATTATATAACTTTTCATATATCCATACTGTGTTTATATGTGTATGTGCTTGATAGTGTGCATATAATCTGATAATCTGATTATAACTCGGTGCATTAAACCATGGCTGATTCCAGGGATAACACTCCAAGTCTATTCAAATCAAAAACTATGTGTTGTACACCCAATAATGATGAACTCTTAGATGTTTACCCTAACAAGGTACTTACAGATCTAGACTCTGAATCGTCAGCTGAATATGTTGCTGCAATCATGTCACCATGTCCTGTTAACAAGGTATGTACACCTAGGAGAAAAAGAAACAGGTCTGAACCTACCACAAGTGATATAGTCTGTGACACCTCCATAAAGAAAGCCAGAACTATTGACATAACAAAGTGCTCTCCTACATCCCACAACAATTTGAACAATGTAGCGTCTGCTGTAGAATTCTGTGAGAACACCTATGTAAAGAAAACAGTTGATGGTGGAACCAACGATACTGGGCTTAGAAATGAAATTTTGAATTTAACAAGAATGGTGCAGCGTTTGACTGGAACCTTGACTCGTTAAGTGATAATATCTACAGTAGAATGGACAAACTTGAAAATTCACTTGAGAGCAAAATAGTGCATAAAATGGCAGGGTAATTGACAAACGTATGAATACTGAAGCAAAAAATATTCGTAAAGAGTGTGATAATAAAATACAGAATTTTAAGGATGACATTCGGCAGGATATCTCGGAAATAGAAGCCAAATTGAACTCAATTACTGATGCAACAAAAGCTTTAAGTCCAACATCAAGTAAGAACAACAGAAGAGACTGTAACTTTGTTATAAAGGGTCTACCTTTTCATGAAGGTGAAAATCTAAATGCTAAGGTAAACTCGTTAATAAGTGATGGTATGGGAATTAAATCAATAACTGTTCTCAAAAAACACATAGAAATTCAAGTGATGGAAGTGATGGTATAGTAATCGCTTCTCTCCAAGCTACTGAAGAAAGGAAAACTATTTTGAATGCTAAACGTAAATTAAAAGATTCGGAGCAGTACAAGAAAGTGTTCATCTATAAAGATCAGACAACAGAGGAGAGAACTGTCAACCGGAATTTAAAAACCATTGTTAACGTGCTACGAGATAACGGTTGTAATATCTCAGTTCATGGAGACCGTGTTGTTGAGGAAAACTGTAGATCTCACAGAGGTACCCATGGTGGAAATTCGCGTTATCGTGCTAATAGAAATTCTAGTAATTATATATTTAGTGACAGACAAAATTCTTTTTCAGGTTACTCGCGCAAAAATCATTCTAGTAATGCATACTCCCAAAAATATACAAATGACAGACACTCTTCTTTTTCAGATAATGATAATCATCATAATAGCTATGATAGAGACTCTCAGAATACTTCGTCAGCACGGTCCAGTTTTCATGACAGATCAAGAAACAGTAGATTTTACAGAGACGGTCATTTTTAGGTCAAGTGTGGATTCTGGAATGTGCGTGGGTGGAGTTCATGTAATAATTCAGATAGTCATATTCTTAGACAAAGTTGTATAACATATCTTGATTTTGATATTATTGGAATTGCTGAAACTCACCTATTAGGAAATACAAGTATTTTGGTTGAAAATTATACATTTTTTAATCATAATAGAAAGCATATCCATAGAAATGCCAAGCATGGCTCTGGCGGTGTAGGCTTCTTTGTAAAAAATAGTCTTTTATCTGAATTTAGTGTGAAAATAGTAAATAATTCTGTTGATGGAATTTTATGGTTAGAATTTAAACATAAGGTAGAGAACTTTTATATATATACTTGTGTCTGTTACCTTCCACCTGAAAACTCTTCACGATATTCTGATTGTGTCACTTTTTATAATGATTTGCTGCAATGTATTTATGAATATCAAAATAAAGGTTTTTTGTATGTGTGCGGTGATTTTAACAGCCGCTGTGGAGATACTGATGATTTTATTGCTGGAATTGATAATATTGAACCAAGAAATGTTGTTGATTTTAATACAAATTCATACGGGGACCACCTAATACAGTTTCTCATTGATAGTAACATGTGCATTCTGAATGGACGAAATTATTTTGTAAATGATTTTACATCTGTTTCTGTAAAAGGATGCTCCGTAGTTGATTATTGTCTTGTAAGCCATGAGAGCCTTAAGCATTTTACTGATTTTAATGTTATTAGAACTTCAGATCTTATTAATAGATTAGATGTAAGAAATTTTTTTCCTAGAAATATACCAGATCATTCTGTGTTAAATTGGAACATGAATATTGATATCGGATTGCAGTCTTCTCCCAGTTCGGTTGATCAGGAAACTTATGCTCCAGGATTTGATAAGTTTGATTTAAAAAGCATCCCTGACTGCTTTTTGTCCAGTAATAATGTTATGGGAAAAATCAATTTGGTTATTGAAAAACTTGAGCAGGGATTAAGATTGCAATCTGACCTTGATATTGCGTATGATGAATGGTGCAAAATTGTCAAATCTGAAATGTATGAGAAACTAAGTTATAAGACTGTTTATCCAAATGACTCTGTAAAGTTGTCCAATAGAAAACGAAAACCTTGGTGGAACCAAGAGTTAACTAATATTTGGAAAAGTTTACATGCAGCAGAACATAGGTGGTTAAGATGTAATGATAGAGCTATTAAATCTACTCTGAAGCAGGAATACTCTTTTTTACGTAAAACTTTTGATAGAAAGGTACAGCATTATAAGAGAGCTCATGTCTGTAAAGTGCAGAATGATATTTTATCAGACCTGCAGAATAATGATAACCAGTTTTGGAAAACTATTGGTAAAAATGGTATTGGTTCATATCGTAATAAATGTATTCCTATGCAGATAGTACTTAATGATGGTAGTGTATCCAATGATGTTAAGTGTATTTTGAACAAATGGAAAACTGATTTCAGTTCACTTCTTAATGAAAACAGTGTTATAAATCTGAACTCTGTTAATGCTACAAGTTTTAACACCTACTCAAGTAATAATGATTTAGATGCTAATATAAGCATTTTTGAAGTTATCAGAGCTGTAAAAAAGCAAAATTAGGTAAGGCATGTGGAATTGACTGTATTCCAACTGAAGTTTTAAAAAATGATACTTCTTTGTATGTTTACATAGTATTTTTAACGTTTGTTTTGAGACTGGACAGGTACCATTAATATGGTCCAAGAATATTATAAATCCCATTCCTAAATCTGGTTCTAAAGATCCAAAAGATCCTATGTCTTACCGTGGTATAGCTTTAGCTCCTACTATGTACAAGATGTATAGTAACATTTTAAATGAACGTATTGTAAAGTGGACAGAAAGTAATGATTTAATTGTTGAAGAGCAAAACGGTTTCCGGAAAAAACGTAGTACTGTTGACCATATTTCAAGTCTTACAAATATAATTGAAACAAGAAAGAAAAACAAACAGTCGACATTCTGCGCATTTATTGACTTTAGAAAAGCATTCGATTCAGTCAACAGGTCAATTTTATGGCGTAAACTTAATGAATGCGGAATGTCAACCAAGATGCTCTCAGCAGTTAGGTCTCTTTATAAGGATATGTCAGCATGTGTTAGAGTAAATGGCATGTGTACCGATTGGTTTAATGTAAACACTGGTGTAAGGCAAGGTTGCTCTCTGTCTACTATACTTTTCAATATTTTTATCAATGACTTAGCTATTATGTTGAAAAATATGAACAAAGGCATAGCTATTGATGGCGAAAATATTTGTATATTGTTATATGCCGATGACATTGTATTGATTGCTAAAAATGAAAATGATTTACAAGATTTATTATCAATGTTAAACAAATGGTGTGAAGGAAACGGAATGGGTATCAATGTTAGTAAAAGTAAAGTTGTACACTTTAGACCAAATTCAATTCCTAAGTCATGTTTTGTTTTTAACTAGATATATGTACCTTGGTTTAGCTTTAACCGAGCACCTAGATTATAACATAACAGCTAAAATAGTTGCTCAATGTGCTGGACGTGCCCTCGGGCTCCTCATTGCTAAGTACAAATCGTTTGGTGGACTACCTTATGATGTTTATACAAAGTTGTACTATTCTTGTGTGGTACCAGTCATCACGTATGCTTCAGCAGTATGGGGTACTAAATCTTTTTCTTGTGTCAATGCCGTTCATCACAGAGCAATGAGGTTCTTTCTTGGTACTGGTAAATACACACCTATTGTTGCAGTCCAAGGTGACATGGGTTGGAAACCAATTATTATTGACCAGTGGAAATCTGTATGTAACCATTGGCATAGATGTTTATTATATAATGATTGTAGGATTAATAAGAAAATTTTTAATTGGTCAGTTAATAAAGGTAATAATAGATGTAAAATTGGCCATTCATTGTAAGGGATAAATTGTGTTCAATAGATTTAGATATGTATACTATGCTTCCTTTTGATAAAAATAAGATGTTGAATGATGTATGTACTGCATTGATGAATAGTCATACTGTTCAATGGCAAACTGATTTGAATAGATATACAGGCGTAAATGGCACTAACCACAATAAGCTAAGGACATACAGATTGTTTAAGAGTAGCTATGATACTGAGCTATATTGTAAACTGCAATTACCATATTGTCATAGGTCTGCGCTATCCAAATTCAGGTGTGGTGTTGCGCCGCTAAGAATTGAAACTGGGCGTTATACTAACATGCCAGTAGCTGAAAGAGTATGTCCATTTTGTGAAGAGTTTATTGAGACAGAAATGCATGTTTTTATTACAGTGCCCGCTATATAATCAAATACGTGATGTCATTTATGAAAAAGCTCAATCTGTAGACAATAGTTTTTATGATATGTCTGATAATGATAAATTTGTATTCATGTTCTCTCACCCAGACATGGTTAGAATCCTCGCAAAATCCTGCTGTGATATATTAAAAATTAGAAATAATATTTTATATAGTAAAATTTTAAACTGTAATAATATTTAGTAATTGCAACAATTTTTATTATATGACATACAATTTAAAATGTACAGATGAAATATTTCCAGTGTTTGACGTTTTAATGTTGGCTAGCATGTTATTTGGAGTCACTCAAAAGTACTATGTTACCATTTGGCTATCATTTATACAAACATGATTTTAATATTTTAGGCTGTCTAACACTGGTAATGTTTAATCTTAATATTGGTTTTACCATGTATGATAGTAATAATATTTAGTAATTGCAACAATTTTATTACATGACATACAATTTAAAATTGTACAGATGAAATATTTCCAGTGTTTGACGTTTTAATGTTAGCTAGCATGTTATTTAGTGTCACTCAAAAGTACTATGTTACCATTTGGCTATCATTTGTACAAACATGATTTTAATATTTTAAGCTGTCTAACACTGGTAATGTTTAATCTTAATATTGGTTTTACCATGTATGATATAGTGTTTTAGATGTTTAGTCTCTTATAATTCTTATAGAATGGCTATATACATGTATTTTATATTATATTGTATATAGATGAGACTGGAATAAATAAATAAATAAAATATGAATATTTTAACATCAATAGAAACCCGTACATCATTATCATCTTAAAAATACACACCCGTACTTAATGAACTTATCCTATCCAAAGTAAAGATTATTTTTTTAATCAAATGGTTTACCAGGATGTAAACACCACACTGTATATGCCTTGGTTTTGAATAAAATCTAAAATCTAAATCTAAAGTATTCTTTAATAATTTAAACGTGTTTACAAGTATTTTACTTCACATACTATATACAGATGGTATTATGGGTATATTGTCGTAAAATGCACGATCTGATTCATTGACGAAGTAATAAATCTTTCATTGTTGCGCGTTTCAGTCACGTGACATGTACTAGCCACGCTATAGGAAGAGGAAAATACCAATAAATTAATGCACTACTGAATGAGTGTTTGCTGTACCGAATCGTTATAGATTTTCTATTTACACTAGCTTTATTTTATTGTAAAATATAGAACAGACGTGGCAAATGGCAGATTTACAAAGCCCTATACCTTCAGTTGAGGATTTAGTTAAAGAAGCAGTTAAAGCTTTCAAGGAAAAGTTTGGATATGAGCCGACGACCGCGGCATGTGCGCCAGGAAGAGTTAACTTGATCGGTGAACACACGGACTATAATGATGGATTTGTATTTCCCATGGTGAGTAAGTGATGCAATACTTACGTCATTGTATTCAACTATTGTATAAGTAGTACTGTCTAAGTTTTATCATGTATGTTACAGTTTCATTTATTATAGAAATGTAAGTAATTAGTTCAGAGTAATCAATGTTATTTTCTTGACCTTTAAACCACCTTCATGTGTTTAACATATAAAGTATTGTTTTCTTCTGTATACAAGAGATGGCGGTTATATTGTCCGCTCGAAAACGTGTATATAAACACATGTATAGATATAAGATGAAAGAAGAAAGGCATATATGTGACATGTAATGTCAAGTTTAAGATTAATAGAGCAGTGTCACAGTTCAGTGACCGTGACCTGTACAGTTGTAAATAATTCCATGTGCTCATCTAGTGCATCTCATCTAGTGCATTTTACTTGACCTGGTAGAATTAAGAATTAATTTAAAAAAAATCATATTTTCATTTTTTTTGTAGCTACATATTCTACTTATGAAATAGAGCGTAATTTAAAATTAACATTTTATACAGTACATGTATATGTAAAACTTGAGGAGCTTAAAAATTACATTTAAGTAACTTTAGTACTTGGGCAATAAAAACTATATTTACATTTTGCTAGACATTATTTGCATAACATTGAGTTTGTACATACAATATTGAGAAGTAATCTAAATAAATTGGCGGTTATTATGCAATATCTAGACTGACCTTTGAACGAGACGAATTCATTGAATGGAAAGCATTTAATGCGATAGTTTTTTTTATTGGATTTATTCAATACTCAAAATTCTGAAAGACCCAGGAGTGTACGATAGAACAAAATGATCAAATGAAAGAAGTCTGAAACTTTTATCACAATAATTAGCCCCAGTCACGATGACATGTATACCCCTTACATATTTATACTTATTTGTATTGATTCAGACGCCAGAAAGTTTAAAATTTGGCTTTAATGACAGATCACTTATTTGTTTAAAATGCATACTTGCTATAAAGTTTTGAAAAAAAAACCTATATTAATTAAAGATACGAGAAAATAGCCTAAAACCATTAGTCTGCACAGAGAAAATTTGCTAATATTTCAACTCAACTCAAATAATTTTATTGCGTTAAACATACAATATATGTTTATAGCACATACAACATAACAATAGGCAGAAAACATGGATTTTTCAAGGAGCACAAAAATACAATGTAAAACATATGAATTCATAATTGTGACGTGTTTGAGGTTTTGTAAAACTATTTTCTAATCAAATTTGCATAATATAAATATTTAGAAAGATCTCTTACAATTATTTTAGATTCAGACAATAATAAATTAGTAAATTTCTGCAATGTAGGCCATGTATAATAGTAGCGTCTGAGATATTTTTTGCGAAGGTCAGCATATTGTGAGCATGTAAACAAAAAGTGAAATTCGTTTTCAATTCGTCTCGAAGAACAATTATTGCATATTCTTTCCAGTCTAGGTACGTTTGTATATCTTCCCTTTTCAATTAACAAGTCGTGAGATGATGTGCGAAATTTTGTAAGCGCAACTCGAAATCTTTTGTCCTTAATATAATCAAGATAACTTTCAAATTCAAATTTATATTTTATAGAACTGTATGTATCTAGACGACTAGAATTATTAATAGAACAATACCAACTTTGATAATAAATATCTAGTATGCGTCGTTCAATAATATTGTAGTTAATTAACATGCTATATTGGTTTTGCCAAATATACGAAAGTCCGCATTTATCAAGTATAATTTTAATTTGATAAGCCCAATTACACTTATTATATGTGTTATTTCCTTCAACATCGACTTTAAGCATGTTATAGGTTTTGAAAAGAAGAGATTCTTTTTTACATGTCAATAATTTTATCCAATATTTTACCATTATTAATTGTCTACGAATGCTCATTGGGATTCTAGCTAATTCGCCGTAAAGAGCGTCTAAATTTGTAGAGCGTTTGACAGATAATACTTTTCTACAGAATTTGGAGTGAATGAGTTCAACATCAGGTCCGACATGATGACCCCAGATTTCAGCCGCGTAATTTAACGTAGAAGCTACCAATGAATCGAATAAGTCACATTGTTTGGACACGGGTAAATCAAGTTGGTTAAAAACAATAAACAAATTGTGTAATGAGTACGAGCCGTGCTGGGCTATTCGCTTTTGTGTTCGGTTCCAATTGCCATTTTTATATAAATGAACGCCCAAATATTTAAAGAATCTACTAACTCTATATGATTGTTATAAAGATAAAAATCAAATTTGGTTTGTCGGCCTTTTTCAAAAATCATGGTTTTTGTTTTGCTGGCATTAAGACGTAAGCCCCATGTATTGCTATATTCTTCAATGTCGTTCAACATGGACTGTAGGGAGTTTGGATCGTGAGCAAATAAAACTGCGTCATCGGCAAAAAGTAATAAAAATAATTGAATGTCGCCAATGTTCATTATTCCATTAATATCTGTATTTACATTATTAACAATATCGTTTAAAAAGAAAAGACACAAAATGCTGCTGGCGGGGTCACCTTGTTTCACTCCAATGTTTGAATTTATAAAGTTAGAGTTAGTCGAATTATACCTTACAAACGATTTAACCGTTGAGTACATTGACTTTATAGCCATTACAAATTTTGTACTAACATTTGCATTCATTAGTTTTTTCCACAAGTAAAGTCTATCAATTCTGTCAAACATTTTTTCCCAATCGAGAAAGGCTACATATAATTTTTTCTTTTCAGCAAGAGTTTTTGAAATAAGAGCGTGTAAAATATAAATACAGTCAATCGTTGATTTATTCTTTTGAAAACCAAATTGATTGTCAATTAATTTTTCTTTCTTATCGGCCCAATTTGTAAGTCGAGTTATAATTAGTTTTTTAATATGAAAGTTTTGCCAGAGGCTTATGGTTAATTAAGTAGAATAACATTTATGTAATTGTGATATTCAATAGATGCGAAAATGAAATGAGATTTGATTTAAAAAATAATAGCCTAGCTATTTATCAAATGAAATACTAAAATTAAGTTCAATTAACATTCTGAAACAGTTACCATAAAAACACGAAACATGTTAATGCTACAATAGAAGTAATTTGCTGACACGGATGACCCGAATGAGGAAAACTTTGACATAAATTGGCTGTACAAGTTACAAATGATAAATGGTTCAATATAAAAAAAAATCCACAAAATATGTAATTTACCTGCAGTTGTTTATATGTATGTTCTACAAGTGGTTTTATATATCTTATTATTTTATTAATGAGAAATGGGGACTGGGATTGGAAATTCATAGCTTCAAGATAGAAAGTAAACTGGAATAAAACATAAGAAAAATACCTGCAATTCTGAAATTACATGATTGAAGACACCCCGCGTATACTACTTCACAAAAAATTAATTTTATGTTCTTTGAAAAGTCTGTGTCTTCTGCATGTCTTCTGCATACCGTCCGGTTAGCCTAATTGGTCGAGTGTTGGACTGTAAATCGAGCTCTCGGCTTCGAATCCCGGACGGTGCATATCACTTTCCTTGTGATTGATCATGAAATCCGTTTTAAGGTCTGTGCTCTGGTGATTTTATGTGGCTTACTGCCGAGATCCGGAGAGTAAACTACAAAAACTACAAGAACCACCATGTCTTCTACATATAGACATGCTGTTATCATATACACATATGATGTATGTTTTATTGCACGAACAGTATTTGAGTTTGAGTTGTACTGACTTGACCGAAAACGTCACTTCCGTTGCCGACTCATATATTTACAACTCATGCAAGCGACGTTTCGGTGTCATGATTACATATAATTTGTTAGTTTTGGCGGTGCCTTGATTATATATAATATGTTTTTTTCGACATATGCAAACATCTTACATTTAAGATTTATATACATGTATACAATTGCGAAAATTTATGACGGAGTGATATATAAACTGGTGATACATTTCAGGCATTACCCCTGGTTACTGTATTGGTAGGAAAGAAGACAGACGGACAGCAGTGCCGTGTACTCACTCTGACCGACGGTGTAGATGACCCTAATTATGTGGAGTTTCCGGTGCCGTCAGAATCATCGCCGCTCACACCCGGTACTCCAAAGTGGGCTAACTATGTGAAAGGAGTTGTTGCAAATTATAAAGGTATAATTATCCTATTAAGCATGCAGTTTTGTAAGAGGCATTTTATTCTACAGCTATATTCTATATCTACAGTTTTATCCTTGGTTCAAGCAGTTTAAAACTACTTGCATATCACAGAAGATATATACTAGTACAATATCTGCAGTAACTGCCCTCCATGATGATAACTAAAATAAAGTAACAACATGCAAAAAAAACCACAAAATTTAATGTTTAATTACAGTATAGAAAGAAATTTGAATGTAAGGTCATTACAACTGTGACGTATATTTTTTTTATTTTTATAAATGACTTATATCTCAAAATGTGAAACAATGGTTATTAATCGGTCACGATTCATTTATTTATTTTACAAGGTGGTCCTGTCCCGGGGTTCGACTGTGTCGTCGTATCATCAGTACCAGTGGGTGGGGGAGTATCAAGTTCGGCAGCTATAGAGGTCGGGACATACACATTTATAGATCAACTTACCGGTTCAACAAACAATATCAGTAAAAATGAGAAAGCACTGGCATGTCAGAAGGCTGAGCATGTATTTGCTGGAGCACCGTGTGGAATAATGGACCAGTTCATTTCTATAATGGGGGAGACTAACCACGCCCTTCTCATAGACTGCAGGTATATAACCATTGATTTCTATAATGGGGGAGACTAATCACAGCCTGCTCATAGACTGCAGGTATATAACCAGTTCATTTCTATAATGGGGGAGACTAATCACGCCCTGCTCATAGACTGTAGGTATATAACCAGTTCATTTCTATAATGGGAGTGACTAACTACGCTCTGATCATAGACTGCAGGTATATAACCAGTTCATTTCTATAATGGGGGGGGGGGGGGCTAACCACGCCCTGCTCATAGACTGCAGATATATAACCAAATCATTACTATAATGGGGGAGACTAACCACGCCCTTCTCATAGACTGCAGATATATAACCAGTTCATTTCTATAACGGGGAGACTAACCACGCCCTGCTCATAGACTGCAGGTATGTAACCCGTTCATTTCTGTAACGGGGAGACTAACCACACCCTTCTCATAGACTGCAGATATATAACCAACTCATTTCAATAACGGGGAGGCTAACCACGCCCTTCACATAGACTGCAGATATATAATCAGTTCATTTCTATAATGCGGAGACTAACCACGCCCTGCTCATAGACTGCAGTTATATAACCCGTTCATTTCTATTACGGGTAGACTAACCACGCCCTTCTCATAGACTGCAGATATATAACCAGTTCATCTCTATAATTGGGGGAGTCTCATAGACTGCAGGTATATAACCAGTTCATATCTATAATGGGAGAGTCTCATAGACTGCAGATATATAACCAGTTCATCTCTATAATTGGGGAGGCTAACCACACCCTTCTCATAGACTGCATGTATATAAACAGTTCGTCTCTATAATGGGGGAGACTAACCACGCCCTTCTCATAGACTGCAGATATATAACCAGTTCATTTCTATAACGGGGAGACTAACCACGCCCTTCACATAGACTGCAGATATATAACCATTCATGTCCTAATTAAAATAATGATAACATTAATTTGTGAAGGTGACACATCAAGACATCAAACTAATACACAAATAATTTTAATTCTTTATACAAAGTGATTTCAAATGAGCATTACATTCATAAGACAACAAAAGTAATAAATTATCACACACTTAGGTTTAGACACATGTTTATTTGAACAATCAAATCTACATGTACATTATAAAAAAAGTAAATCAGTTCATTCATATCATACCACTTGTTGTTGTCTATTTTTGACAGACACATATGCTCATTTAATACAAGTATGCATGTATATTAATATTTTTTTCTTTTGTGTTATAAAAATAATAAAAAAAAACAAACAAACAAAAAAAAGTAATAGCTTTATATTATTCCAAAGCATTCATGCTATAACAAGAGAAAGCGTTTCGTTTAACATGTGTAAAGTGTTTGCTTTGGTGTTTAAATTAGTGATAAATCTAAGTTTGCATTATAATCTTTTGTTTTTTTTTTCTATAAAATCGTAGAAATGATATATGTCAGATCTCAATAATTATATTAAGTTTGGTATAAATATTTTATATAGATCATTAGAGGGCCGATTAGTTCCACTGAAAGATCCTAATGTTGTTATACTGGTAACCAATTCTAATGTGAAACATAACATAGAAGCGTCCAAGTATTCTACCAGGCGTGCACAATGTGAAAATGGCGCTAAAGTTATTGGACTCAAAAGTCTCCGGGATGCCAACACAGAACAACTTGAAGGTACATTTTACGTCTGTTAAGCATTTATTGTAACAACACTGTCCTATGTTTGTATTTGTTCATTGATCATAGTCTGTTTCTTGCATATCAAAACGTATATAAATAGAAACATATCTGATAAACAATGGATTTATGTATACAGTATGTATCTCTGGAAGTTAGCCATATTGAGCTGGCATTAAAGTCAGAATGGAAAATATCAATGTCAGAGATTAGGCTATAGTAGTCACATATAACTCTAAAGGGAGAGTTCCACTGTTCAATATCACCTGTTTATTATTTGTATAGTGATTTCATTAATTAACATTTCTTCCTCAGAGTTGCTACAAAAATATTCATTGTCACATTTTCTTATAAACTTGATTTGAATGTTAATGTTTTATATTTTCCAGGAACTATTTTTCAAGAATTTGTTTGGCATTGACATATTTATTATTTGCTTATCTTTGCTATTTTAGAACATTAATATCCTCCTTTAATCCAGCTTCATGTTTGCATCAATAATTCAATAGTAACTACTAATGAGTATATATTAACTATATGTATATTTATTTCAAACAAACAAACAATCATAATGTTGATATGCATGTAATTCACGTGAACATTAAGCTGGAAACATAATTGTCTGAAATCCAAATTGGACTTTTCAGTATTGAATGTCACTCAACTGACTCTACTATTTATGATACACATTGAATCACGTGACGCTTATGACGTTTCCATTCATTATACTTATAACTGTTCTAGCTTACATGGTCACAGTCTGATGTCTTATCAAGACATGACTTGATTTATCGAAGTACGCAAAGGTCACGAGAGCATGCTTAAGTTAAAACTCCATACGCTACTTTTGTCAAAATTATGCCCTCAGAAGTGTAAAACTACCCTGTTTAACAACGAAAAATCTTGTTTCTTAACTACCGTCATAATTAACTTCTACAAAACACAACTTTATTCAGTGTTGAAAAGGATTTTGATAAATTATCATTCATTTTTATTTAAGAACACAAGTCCAAGTTAGATGACGTAACATACAGACGTGCACGTCACGTAATCGGCGAAATAAAAAGAACGGAAGAAGCTGCTAATGCACTTGAAAACAACAATTACAAATTGTTTGGTGAACTTATGGTACAGAGCCATAACTCTCTTAGGTCAGTGTTAAAAACGTTTTCTTTCATACAAAATTATTATTGCATTTTTCCTTTATTTAGATAACTTTGACTTTTTACAATTTGTATGACAAACCAGGCCGTACACTTCTAAATGTCATGCAATGAAAAACTTCTTATGGTTGAGCTGCACCCACAAATTAACTACCATTAGAAAACAGAAAAAATGATGTATTGTTTCTGTAGTTACCTAGTATATAGAATGGACGGTTTTAGTAGTGTACCAGGTTTTCTTTTTGTGTAATATAATGGTGGCGATTTTTTTTTATTTTGACGTTAAGTGTTGATCGTCGTGATATTTAGAGCTGATGATTAAAGGCCATCATATCATTCTTGATCTAATGACTAGTGTGTTTTTTCTTTCAAAGTCAATCCAAACATTAGTACCAATGTTTTTCTATAGACATACACATATGATATGTGAGAGATGCAATTTATATTTGTGTTTGTCTTCTAAATGATAATTTGTTTGATCAGTACTCGAATTCAAATGGAAATATTAATGTAAGGTATTTATTTCAGAGATGATTTTGAGGTATCATGCCAAGAGTTGGATCAGCTAGTCGAGGCAGCAATGGAGGTGGAGGGTGTGTATGGATCACGAATGACCGGTGGTGGTTTTGGGGGTTGCACCGTCACGTTATTAAAGAAAGAAGCCGTACCATCGGCGTTAGAACATATAAAGGTAACAATAATGTAGTCTTTTGTCCAATTTGATAAAATCGATTTTTTTTCACTGAGCGAGAATAACAGTAACTAATATTTTATAAGCAATACATTTTCTGTAACTTACAGCATTGTATTTTTGTATAATTATGAAGATCACCTGTCAATAATATATTATACGAACCACTAATATGAATATTAATCAATATTTGCTTTCATCCATTTGTGTGGTATTTTGAATGAAATTAACTGTTATCTGGGATTATTGCTAGTAATATTGAATTTTGAATTAGTTTTCCTTACATCGCTCGCTTTATTTTTCAGAAACGCTACACAGGCACGCCAACATTCTACGTTTGTGAAGCGTCACAGTCTGCACGTGCCCTTACTCTATAATATGATGTAACTTACTCCCAACCATACCAATTTCTATAATATGATGTAACTTACTCCCCACCATACCAAACATTCAACGAAACTGGACCAATCAGACCAGTGTGAAACGATTTTAATTAAATCACATTTGTGTGAAATGTTTAAAGGCATCGAAAATCTCAGTACTTATTATACATTATTATGTTATTATACATGCGTGTGTTTGACACTGGTAGGGTATATTTACTACATGTATATTATTTAAATTGTGTTGGTGCTGTAAATATATCACAATCTTATTGTTTTACTGTAGGCAGCTATGACAGTGCACTGTATAAATATGAACAGTAGTTGTTTTGCTTTTAAAATATTACTGAAGGATGAGTCGGCCAGCATTTAGGTCACATTTACTAACAGTTTTATTTGCAGATAGAATATTTTTACCTCATTAACCATCTTATAGTAACTATGCAAATGTTAATTTCTCATTTACTATAGCAACCACAATTACTACATACGTTGATTTACAATATATTGTGATTCTATATCAATTAGAAACTTTTACTGAAATTGTTTTTAATTTGTACAGTAATTAAAGAATCTCAGACAACATTTTTCAGGAAACTGTATCAGGAAATAATCGTTGTCTTATTGTGATTGTTGTTTTATAATTGTTATCGGATTTTTTTTAATTTCAAAGGGTTTAGAAGGGTGTAAATAAAACATAATACACTATAAATGATGTTGTTATGTCATTTTAGCACCAAATGGTATGCTTATTTTTCAGTCCATATAACAAATTTTATCACACAACAAAATTGACACATATATATAAATTTACACTTACTGATTTTATTATTTTGAGTATAAGTTAATTTTTTATTTCAGTCATTCAGTTAAAACACCAACAACTTTAAACACCATTTTGCTCGCGAAAATCGAACAAATTCCATGATTTAACTATAGGTAATCGTCCGGTTAGCTCAATAATTACAGCGTTTGACCAGAGACACAGATAAATAGGGATGCTGATAAACTCCTGGACAGTCTGCCCAGGAACGATGTGACGGCTGAACTGTGCTCTGGTGAATTCTGGCTTACTGCTGTGATCCTGGGGGTAATCTACCAACACAATCACCGTTACCATGGTTATTTAATGTCCAATCTTTGGGGTAATCTACCAACACAATCACCGTCACCATGGTTATTTAATGTCCAATCTTGGGGGTAATCTACCAACACAATTACCGTCACCATGGTTATTTAATGTCCAATCTTGGAGGTAATCTACCAACACAATCACCGTCACCATGGTTATATAGTGTTCAATCTTGGGGGTAATCTACCAACACAATCACCGCCACCATGGTTATATAATGTTCAATCTTGGGGGTAATCTACGAACACAATCACCGCCACCATGGTTATATAATGTTCAATCTTGGGGGTAATCTACCAACACAATCACCGCCACCTTGGTTATATAATTTCCAATCCTGGGGGCAATCTACCAACACAATCACTCTAACCATGGTTATATTTGTCCAATCTTGGGGGTAGTCTACCAACACAATCACCGCCACCATGGTTATATAATGTCCAATCTTGCGGGTAATCTACCAACACAGTCACAGCCACCATAGTTATATAATGTCCAATCTTGCGGGTAATCTACCAACACAATCACCGCCACCATGATTATATAATGTCCAATCTTGCGGGTAATCTACCAACACAGTCACAGCCACCTTGGTTATATAATGTCCAATCTTGGAGGTTATCTACCAACACAATCACCGCCACCATGGTTATATAATGTCCAATCTTGGGGGAAATCTACAAACACAATCACCGCCACCATGGTTATATCATGTTCAATGTATACAGTTGTTCTTTAAATAAATAAAATCTATGCCAATAACTTTCTATAACAATCTTAAGTAAATCATGATGTAGTCTCATGTTGTAAATTTACTTGGTGTTACCTCCCTTAGTCTATCTGGTGAAGATATTGCATTATTGTGTCGTTCAGTCGTAATGAACATTTCTTTTTCACGGCACGTTTGTCAAAGAGAGTTCAGCAACTGTGCCTTTATCATTCAGTTATCAGGTATAGAAACCTACTCATGCATTTTGTTCAATTATTTCAGCTATTTACTGAAATAAGTATTAGAAAGAGCATCGAAATGCGAGGCTATCTGATTTGTAGCCCCGAGTATTAATCAGATTGCCTCTTTTTCTTTTGTATCATAGACAAACATAAAAACACGTTCCCTGTTGTCACAACATGAAACCCCTGAAAAAGAAACCAAAGAGCGAATATCTGAACATGATATCTTTCTCTGCTGTCACATAAAGTAAAAAATGTGATAAACAAGATCAACGAGGAAAGGCGGTGTTCAATAAGCCCCAGCAAAAATGAGCCAATCAAAGGTCGTGCTCTGGATAGTGGGTAACTAATACCTGCACTCCAGTTACTATAGCACCGCACTTTGGGGTCCAAAGCACTTTGGCGTCAAACCCCAAAGTGCGTTACATTTCGCATCACACTTTGTGGTCCAACGCATTTTGGGATCAAAATCGAGAAACTGACCTCAACGTGCGCATAAATGCTACATATCAACGCACTTTGGGTTCAAGTGTTCTGAAGGTGTCAACTGAGTTCTGCTTAAATTCTGAGTACTGGCTTGTTTCCGCTCTGCGACATTGAAATATTTGCGGTCGGTACCTTGTTTGATGCTTAAGTGATAAAAGTTTCATTAATTTTACCACTTGAAAAAGTGTGTCCATATAACAAAATACTCTAGTACATGAATTGTAAATGTCTTTCTAAAATTAAAAGATGCTGCGAAAAATATCCTGTGTCAGTCATTTACTTGATTACTGTTGCTGCCATATTGAGCCACCATCTTAAATATGATGGGGATGAAATAAAATGCAGTTAATATTTTTTCCCAAAGAACTATAAATTCAATGTTTTGGTGAAATATCAAATTTCTCGACCAGACTATAAATAGTGATTTTTACAAATACATGTAAATTATTAAGCTTATTAACAAAATAAAGTTTTTTTTGTAAGCTCCGTAACAACCGCTCGCCAGAGGCTTTTTTTAATGGGTAATCTTTCAAACTTCTTAAGAAAGGGCAAACATGAAATTTATAATGTTTGAACAATGGTATCGGAGAAATGTAAGATGCTTGTTACCTGAATAAAGTAGCAATAAATGGGAAATAATTTGTCATAAAAGTATAAAAAGTAATCAATGAAGTAACTGACTTCCATATGAAATACTAATTCACTATAACTGTACTCATTATCAAAACAGAACAGTTGAAAAGATGGTTCAGGTTATTGGCCAATGAGTAACTCTTTAAATACTATAGAAGTACACCAAAATTAGCTTTTAAGAAATTCGAATAAAAGCATAATTGGCCCTTTGAGAACTGCTTGTACGGACTTCTACTTATGACCGCATCTACACCTAGTCAAGTTTCTTAAAAATCACATTTAGATAAGCTTAATAAATGGCCCTCTCAACATATTATCAGGCACATTTTCTTATTGTAATAATAAACTGTAATAAAACTAAATGTAAATAAAAAAACCCGGGAAAATGATACAATTAGCTAAAAACAATAGAGTTAATCAAAGGTGTATATTCTTTTAAAATAAATGGAAACTGTGAGGAAAAACATATAGTATGAGCTTATTAATTGATACAAATTCTTTATTTAATGAAAGTTCTTCACTAACTGATAAAGACCATTAAAAATTCTTATTGATTCTACTATAATTGCACATGTTTTGTGTCTAGTCTATTTATACCTTCATGTTTGTTTACCTTTGGCTTTGACTACAATATATTAAAACATCATGAAAAGTCATTTTTATTGATTGAATTTATATGACCTTGAAGTTCGGTCGTTTATCTGATGTAAATAATGCATATGCACCTGTTTAACGCATTTTGGGATCAAAATTGGACCCCCCCCCCCCCCCAGTGTGTAACGCACACTTGGGACCCCAAAGTGCGGTATTACAGTGCGCATTGTGCGTGCATATGTATACGATTTAACATTTTTAACAGAAAGGTCCCCAAACTATGATACAATTATTTGTTACATTATTCTGCCGGGGAAACTTATTAAGACTTCAAGTTTCTGTTATTCGATCGTTAAGATCATAAACATAAAATTGTGTTTTGTATTGTCACAACGGATAAGAATATTCAATTGTTTCAACGGTATCAATCTCAATTCTCACCATGGCGCTATAACGTAAATAGTATTTTACAATTTACCTAAAATTACAAGGTCGAAACTATAATTAGGACATACAATTGAAGGGGTGCGTTTGTCCTTGTTATTGGTCTTGAATCTGATAATATATAAATTACGAAATAATTTACAAGTCATTTTACAAATATTTGGCTGGTTCCTAAGTGACATTTTGTTCTACTATATAACCTACCGCGTTATGAAAGAAATGGACTATCCTTCCTAATGATAGGTAATTTCATCATTAAAGTATTAGAAATAAAAATGTTTTAAGGTGATTTTATGTATGTTCATATTACAGCAATCTCGCTGCGGGAGGGAAAAGTTACCATGTTTACAATGCTGTGTCAGAAAAACAATCATTTAATAATAGCACAGATATATAAACAATACTTATATTTAACTCAATGATTATAGATACATTTTTTTCGTAGTAACAATGTGATAAACAACTTTTACCAACATTTAATAATTTAATTTACAACATACAGTGTAGTGTAGTCTGGTTAACGTATTATTTTCTTGAACTTACCGGACACCTGCTATTGTTAAATGAAATTTCGCAAACAATCAGAATCCTTGTTAACTTAAAATCAACACTAGACAATATACATGGTATACAAGCTAGGTAATGTTACACTCCGTAACCGTTAGTAGAGTGAAACATCGATTTCAGAAAAGTCAGCTTTTGAGTTTGAAAATGAACCCCAGCAGCAAAACTAGGAAATGTATTGATACTATTTAACAGCTTTAGACAGCTGTTGTATTGTTGCTCTATTTATGGAATCGAACAGTCACAGTAAATGAACGAACTGTCACTGTTCAAATTGTTTCAAATTGAGTTTATTTATCCATAAAATTTCAAACATACATTTTTAGCTAAAACAGTACCAATATCTTTAAGAAAGGAAATAACGCAAAAAATGAAGTCAGATAATTTGGTTGTAATAAACCATTGCTAAAGAATAAAGATACATTGCCAGCGTTCATCGAGGACAAAATAATTAAAGATTTGGACTATGTGTTGCACCGTAATTGTGGGATCTTTTGTGAATTCAGCAAATGTGAACATCTTTTGTGATTCAGTTGTAACTTTTTAGAAACTCAAACTCCACTTAATATATTGTACTATATCCACATTCACACTTGATATAGGTATATACTTTCACTTAAGATCGCCTTAATAGCCGTCTATTTATATCATTATTTTCTTATAGTTGAAAATGATATGGTCATCTTTGTCATGTTTTTAAATTAAGTTGTACTTTGAAGTGTCAAGATACGAATATTCCAATGGTATCCGCATAAATTGAAACCGATTCCGTTTATTCACAAAGCGAAACTCGCAATATGTCATACACAGAGTGGGGTGATTGCTGCTGAATTTGTCAGTACAGTGTGAGCATATCTAAACGAATGTCAGTGAACTTGCTTCGGGAAAAATAATTAATTGCAAAATGATACATTGTGAAGTTTGCGTATCTATATATGAACTCTTATTAACATGCTTTTTGCGAAGAAGAAAAAAATAACAAAAAAAACCCCACTACAATAAAAGAAAACAACAACAATGTAGTTGATTACACCGATATGATTTCAAGGTACAGCTGTACGTGCATTTTGAGAAAACTGCGCTGATTTGCATGTGAAGTTGACACAGATTATTAAGGAAATATTCGCATGAAATAGGACATATATCAATCGCAAATATCATATCATTTTATAAACAGCCGAGCATACTTTCTGTTGTGAAAATCGCGAGTTTCAGCTCGCAACATCCGGGTGTGATACAGGTCGTTTACCCACCGTGAAATTCTCTTCTACGGTTGCTGTACGTGATTATTGACTACATGTTATAAAAGAATACCGGTTTTCAAATAATTAATAACGTATTTCAAGCAAAGACAAAGCCATTTAAAACAATGAAACCACTCGTACTAGTGGCAGTATGGAGTCTTCCAATAATAGCGTTAGTGATTATGTGTATTTGGTAACAAGTCTCGGGCGATGAGTTGCCATCAAATTTGTATTATGTGAAACATTTCCAGACAATCAGAAGCGCTCTTTTCCTTACAGATTTATTATATCGTTGTGAACGATTTATTATTTAGGTAAAAATTTTAGAAAAAAAAACACATAATTCAAATGATTTTCAATGTGGTCAATATAACAAAATAAAACAACTAGTCGGTTTATGACTTATTTTATGAAAAAAGATTGAATTTATTTTTTTCCGATATAAAATGTAATGTCCAAATGGCTGTATAGTCCCTTTAGATGTATAGATAATAAATCGGTGGTAAGGAAGACGTGTACTGACGTATGTAGGTATATTTGGCAGTATACTAAGGTGGAGGAATTGCCCTTGGGAATAGTCCAAATAAATGTATACAATATTGTCAAAGTTACGGGTCATTGCGCTGCTAATCCTGAAAATTGTCGACGAATATTACCAAATCTGTATATATCTGGCTGTTCAATCATGTTGAAGGCTTTATACCATTATACAAATGCTATGATATAAATCTGTATGAATGTACACTAATACACTGAAATTTTATACATTTGTCTTAAAACTATCAGATTGTTGTCATTCTATAGGAGGGAACGGGTCAAATATTCTCAAACAGTGTGTGTTACCAGATTAAATATTGTTTTCGCTATAAAGTTTGATCGTTCTTTAAGCTGTGGTAACGTATGTAAAAGGAAGTACAGAATAAAACATGATTTCTATAAGTTTTGAAAGTTTTGGAATAGATAACGCTATGAACATAAGACCAAGATGGATATAAGGTGAAACAGGGACTGGCATCATGTCCGGGGATACAAGCAACAGGACGCCCCGGTCACGGAGGAGGGTAAGGCATTAACACGAGGATGTGCTATAAATAAGCACATTAAATTAATATTTATTTTAACACATACTAACTCATTTATAAACTGATATACACAGTCGGGTAAACAGACGGACGGACAAAAGACGAAAGTAAATACGCTATATACAAGCTTACATTGATATATGAAAAAAGAGAAAGAAAAAGAAAACGGCCTTTTAGCCACAAAGTTAATTATAAAATACGTTGTCATACAAAACATACAAATAGACATACATTTAGACTGGGATACAGATATATAATACACGTTGTTATCCGGATAACGTGGTTAACAAACATAATGCAAGAATGGCAGAATGTTTTATTTCACTTTGTGCCATTCAAATGCACTAGAAATATATTTTGTAATTCTAATGCAATTCTTATCAAGAAGTACATATTTACATATTTTAGTCTTTTTTTTTTTCAGAAAATATTCAGCATACGTTTACTGTAGTTTTAAGGAATGGTGAATTAAGACTACGTCTTTACTCTCCTAAATTGCTTCGTAATACATTTATATAAGATTTGAGCCGCGTCACGACAAAACCAACGTAATGCGTTTTCGACCAGCATGGATGCAGACCAGCCTGCGCATCCGCACAGTCTGATCAGGATCCATGCTGTTCGCTTACAAACCCTATTACAAGTAGAGAAACTGACAGCGAACAGCATCGATTCTGATCAGACTGCGCGGATGCGCAGGCTGGTCTGGATCCATGTTGGTCGCAAACCCACTATGTTGGTTTTGTCGTGACGCAGCTCATTTAATTTCTTTACACAATTAAAAAAAATACTAGCCAAACTTGAGAAGTAAATTATGAATATTTTTCTGATCTGTTTACAAAAACAAATATGTCATGATTAAAGTTTGACATCTGATGGCTTAAGGTACTTACGTTATCTTCAGAAAAAAATCACTGTGTAAATAAACGACTGATTAAATTTCAATTTCATAAAACATTTTAGGATATGTTATTTCTTTTAATATATAATCGCATAAAATTCTTGCAATCGACGAAATATAATTGGAACCATTTTATTAACGTTTATCTAACGTACCAGATAATTGTTGTTCAATACTTAAAAAAAATAAGTAAAGACTTAATTTGTTTGTTCATATTTTATTATCATTGTCGGCGTCTTAGAAATTTTTCTGGAATGTAAGGGACATGCTTGCTGTTATTTTATAATTATATTTTGGTTGCTAGTTTGTTCCGATATGAAACAACATTTTTTGTCAAACATTTCCATGCAATTTTCGAAATATTTCAAAGGGTTTGCCGCAATTAAGATTTTTCAACTGGTAAAAATTTGGAGTAATATTTCTTATTGACAAAAGAATTCAATACAGAACTTTATAGACGTTCAATGATCCAAGACAGGGTTTAGTGTTAAAGTTTCCTAATAATGTGGCTAATAATGTGGCGATTTAGGATATCCGATTCCATAACCATTCAAACAGCTAGCGTAAACTAGACCAAAATCGTGGGTGTTTTATATCTTAACCCAAAGAATTCGGTTAATTTTAGATACAATTATTTCAATGAGAGCACCAAGGTTATATTGCTACTTATTTGTTTCGCGACTATATACTTGATTATACATGTATAAAATTTCGGAATGAAAATGCAAAAAAGCAGTAAAATTGACATTTTTAAGGACAAATAAAAAAGTTCAAATCAAAGTATAATATTAATCGAATGTTTGTAATTATTGATATTTTTCTTGTTTCAGACATTTAATAATTCCTGTGTCATAATCCATGGGTAATGTGCCGAACTGACTGACAGTCAATAAAACCCCTTCCGATCAATAAACTGTCTTTGAATAACATTCGGGTAAAAAGCTAGATTCTTCGAGTTTCGAGAATTGTCCTGAGTTCAGATCAATGTTTTCTAGTCTTGTATAGTATAGAGAGTTAGTTAGTTATTTACAAAATTATGTCTGACATGTTTTAGTGATATCAAGTAGGGAAATATCTCCTGAAGTAAGGGATTCCTGGAATAAAAGGCCATTTTCATATGGAATAACATGGTAGAGTTTCCTAAAGTTAACATATGCAACCATCTGACTAACGCAGATATGAACATTCGCTCACCTGTAGCACCAGACAAAAAGAAAGTCTGTATTTACACTTTGACACTGACCCGATTTATAGTTATAGAAGTGATAACAAATCATTTTTATCATGATAGGTAAAATGACTTCTAGGTAAAACGGAACATTTGTATCAAGGTTAGAGTTTTTCACTCAATACATCTGTTGAGATAAAATCATTAATACACTTTCACAATAGCAAGGTCGAACTATGATTTTAAATTTTGGAAAGTGATTTACAGAAATAAAAATACCACTTATCATATTGATAATATGAGCCGTGTCATGACAAAGCCAACATAATGGGTTTGCGACCAGAATGGATCCAGACCAGCCTGCGCATCCGCGCAGTCTGATCAGGATCCATGCTGTTCGTTTACAGACCCTATAGCAAGTAAAGAAACTGATAGCGAACAGCATGGATCCTGATCAGACTGCGCGGATGCGCAGGCTGGTCTGGATCCATGCTGTTTGCAAACGCACTATGTTGGTTTTGTCATTACACGGCTCATATGTCTTTGATCCCGACGCGGGACTTGTTTCGAGTTTATTATCTGCACGTCCATGACGTCGGGAATTATACTCTAAGAATTTGCTGTTCTTTACGTCTAAGACACCTCAAAATATCCAGTGTGTAACGGTAGGGTACTATGTTTTCATAAAATTAATGTAAGAAATGAAAAGAACGGGTTCAAAAACTATTCGTGTGAAGATGACACAATATAGAATACAATAAAGTTTCCCTCTTACAAATCATTTACTATCAAACTTATTATAATCCTTGCAAGAAAGTTGAATTGCTGTATTTTTCGCGAAAACTACATTCCACACATTTTTTTAATTTTTTCCGTTCATTTGTTTTCTTTATTTAAATATGAAAGTCAATTAAGTAAATGAATGAATGTTATCTCTACACATTCGATGTATTTATTTATTATTTACTTATTTATTCATTCAAAATATTTAAAAGGATTACCTAAAATGTGTTTGTAAAGTTAAATTTTAGATTAATTATAAGCCTTTGTGACTAACTGTGGCTTAAAATTCTAGTACTATTCTTACACATATGACGGTCAATGCTGTCAGAGCAGAACAGCACAGAACAAAGTGTTTATTTTTGCACAAATATAATTAAATACATGTATACACGTTCATCGCCAATACGTTATGTAAAGATTAACATAGACGAGAAAATATGATATAATTAATTACATAAATAGTTTTAACAATACATTCGAAAAGTTACAGATATATAGATCTAGAAGTCTAGCTATTTACAAACAATAGCAGAACAGCCCAAACAGATAATGCTTGCATATTCGATATCTTCCATGGTCGCCATTGTTAGCTTTAACGAAGTAACGATTTGTCTTTAAAATGACCATTACACTGTGACTGCCTGTTGAATATGAATAAAAGATATCATTACGACATAAATCTGTCAACATCTAATAGAGCGTCTATTGATCTAGGCCTATAAAGGTGAACGTTTCTTCTTTTGAAACTCAATTAATTTTGATATTTATGTGAGCAGACATGTATGAGATTGATTATATTATATTTCATAATGTCTATTCCCCGAACGTGCTGCTTCTGCTTTCATCAAGATCAATAGAATCATCTTCCGTCCCATAGACGTGCGGCCAATTGTTTGTCTTAGCAACGCTGTTGCTATAATGGAAAGTTACTTCCCTTTTCAACAGCTTTGTCTCGCTTTGGAGTATATATGTATATTTACACATGACGTGAACAGGTGTGCGAATTAAACTATGCAAGTTCATTGTGCATTTTATGAATCAATTTAAAGTTTTATTACACATGGGTTAAACATAGATACTACAGGTAACTAGTTTTTTTATATTATATATGTAATTAACGATGTGTCACTTCATATATAAATCGTGACAAGTGTCCCGTGACCAGATAAAATTTAACAGGTTATGTTTAATTATGTGTGTGTGTGGTTTGTAGGTATTGACATATCATATAATGCCGCATACCCTTATATTCGTAGTAAAATAACGCCAGGATGGTCTATTTTTTGGAAAATTGGGCACGGCACGAAGTTTAATGTAGCGAGACACGTTGAAATGTGTAAATAAGCTATAAATAACTGATTTTCTTGCTATCTATTGTTCGCTTATTTACACATTTCAACATGTTTCGCTACATTAAACTTGACCTGATTGTTAGTACACACTATAACAAAGATTGTGATAAACTTTCTACTTTATATAATACGATTAGAAATTATGTTAAAGGCATGGATTCTATGAATTTATATTAAATATATGACGGACGTGATTTTATAGCTAAGTACTGTTATATAAGTCGGAACATGTAGAGGATTTTGATTCAGCTTGGAGGGTTAAAATACTTAAACAGGAATATTAATGCGTTTAAGAAAGTAATAAAAATGTGTATGGACCGTATCTGTTTACGGAATTTATTAAAGAAAATGCAGAAAAATGCAGTAAGTTTGATCATTATTTCTTTTGAAAGACATTTTTTTCAGGGAAACATACATATTGCCATTCAGTTGTTACATACATAGCATAAAGTTCGTGCTCACCTGCGTAAATTCGAGGTTTATTTCGAAATAATATTATTAAAAATAATAATTTATATTAGCTCAGTGTAATTGATTGATAAAACGTTAATTATGAAATATACCTAGATCTAGTATGATTATATATATATTATGACATGTACATAGTAATACACTGTCCTTGTTTAAAGCGACATTATGCTCATTTTTTTCATTGTCAAGTTGAGCTGAATTGACTACATGTATATATTTCAAAAGATTGACCGTTATAATGGTGGCTGACCAAGAGTTGATTTGAAAAATGTTTAGGAACTGGATAAAAAATAAATCTACCTAA